AGAGTTCTTCCGGCGCGGTATCCGTATAATCTGTCCAGAAGATGGGAAAAAGTAGGGCTAGCGATGAACAATACTTTTGAATAAAACATCAGGTCCGTTCTTTCACAATAAATGCTCATTTTTGATAAAAAACGGGCGGAGACTTTATTTGTAGTCCCTAAATACATAAATTTAAGGTAGGAAATCAAAAAAATAAATATTTTACTAGATTAATTTTACGGTTTATGTAAAATTAAGATATTATTTAAGCCTCATAACTTGCAAGTACTTTAATGAAAACTAACATTAATTATAGTGGTTTTTGGAAAAACTCTCGAGATGAACTAAAAAATATGCAAAAGCATATAGGGTGTCCCATTTAAAAAATTGGATGTGACTTCACGGACCTTCACGTTGACCTTCAGGTGACTCTTCAATGTCAAAACTAAAGACACCCATCTATGTCCCCATTCAAGCCATAACAACTTTTGTCTGAAACTTTTTTTCCTACAATCAAAATTAAAAAAGTTATTCGGGTCATCGATTAAAATGGGACACCCTGTATACTGGGTGATCCCGAAAAAACCTCCCGTCTATAAAATGATGTATTTCTGACTTATTCTAAGACAATTTTTTCTTTACCAAAATTTGAATTTGAAGCGTAGTTTTGAGTTATAAAGCAAAAATAGTTAATAAATCACGCGTCGGGTACAGAAGACAGGCAGGAGCGGCCCGGTGCGCCGCGAGCGCGGGCGCAGCTGATCGCCCGACAGGTAATTACCATGCATGAGTCACTAACTATTTTATCTTATAACAATAAAATTATGCTTTAAATAAAATTTTGGTAAAGAAGAAAATGTCTTAGAATTACATCAGGAATACATGTTCCTAAAAATGTTAATTATTTTAAAGTTATTCCGAATCGCCGACCGTCGAAACGCTGTAATCAGCTGATTGCTACACCGCGATGTGCGTATGGCGAGTGTGTGCGTAAAAAGAGAGAGAGAGGGAGGGAGGGTAAGAGGGACAGACATTCACACACACGCATGCACGTACGCATACACTTTTTTCTCTCTCTCTTTCTCTCTTTTACAACACTCATACACTCTGTTCATTCAGTCACTCATTCTCTCACTCACTCACTCACTCACCTGCTTACTTATTGCTCACTCACCTTGTAGTAGCGTAGCGAATCTTCATGCTACGTATTGTTGTTAACTGCTGCACGGTTATTAGATCGCTGCACTGCTGATTGTTAGAGATGCGTGACACATCGAAACTTTCTCGCTTCGAAACACTCTTACACTCGATTGACACAGATTACGCGATAACGAGTTTACTGTTTATTACTCACTCGATTCATATCGTTTTATCGATACTAAAAATTACTTTAAAAGAAACGCGAATGCAAAGAACACATGACTCGACGCGAAGCGACGGAGATTGCGGAGATTGCGCGACCACAAGGGTTATGTTGCCAGAAACGGACACGCGACATCTACAATAAACGACTTGCGCGTGGCGCGTGATTTACGCAAGATAAGACGAACAATCGGCTAAACCTTCTCATTTCTCATTGCGAATGCGGTAGAAACATGAAACGTATATGACGTACTTAAAAAAATTATCTATTGAATTATAAATTAACTATTTATATCATAATAAATAATTATTATTTATAAAAAGCATGTGTATATACGTTATTACATTTTCGACTATTTGCATTCCACGAGGCGAAGGTTTAAGTCAATGCAAGAATATGTATTAACAAATATTATATTGAGAAATTTATTTTTATTCTGCTCACAATGA